CTGGCGCTGGTGGCGCTGGAGCTGGAGGTTCTGGAGCTGCTGCGGGTGCTGGCGCTGGAGGTTCTGGGGCTGCTGGTGACGCTGGTACTGGAGGTGCTGGCGCTGGAGGTTCTGGAGCTGCTGGTGACACTGGTACTGGCGGTACTGCCTCTGAGGGTTCTGAGCCTGCTGTTGTGCGGTCTCCTTGGAGTAGCCGCCTTCGTCCGCGTGTGCCTCTCACCTCACAGCAGCTGCACGACTGGTACAGTCGCCGTCAGGGTCGCGCTTCTGGAGCTCGGGGCTCTGCCGCTGGAGGTGCTTCTGCTGACGTCACTGGAGCTGGGAGTGGTGCTGGTCCTTTGTCTCCTGGAGGTGCTGGAGTCGCTGGTCCCGGAGGTGCTCGTACTGGAGGTACTAGAGCTGCTGGGGCTGGAGGTGCTGTGCTTGAGGGTGCTACTGCTGGAGACCCTGGGTCTGGGAGTGCTGCTGCTGGAGACTCTGAGGCTGGAGACCCTGGGACTGGAGGTGCCGGTTCTGGGGGTGCTGCTGCTGGTGGAGCCGGTCCTGGAGGAGCTGGCGCTGAGGGTTCTGGAGCTGCTGGAGGTACTGGAGTTGTTGGTGCTGGTGGCACTGCACAGTCGCGCCTGTTCTTCGCTCCACCGTCTCCGTCGTCTCAGCCACCGCCTGACTCTGTGCTTCGCCAGGTTCTTAGTCTCCCTTCGTCTACTGGTCTTCCGTTACAGCCTGGCTTACCGCCGCCTGCTCCTTCTCCTTACACTGAGCAGACACGGGGTCTTATTGAGCGTCGTGAGCCTGGGTCGCGTCCTGTCTCGCCTGTCCGTTCCGGTCGTCGTGTTCCTCGTCCGCGTCAGCCGGCTGTCCCCGGAACCCACCTCGTAGTCCGTCGTCCTTCCTCTCCTCCACAGCGTGTTCCTCTGCCGTCTCCCCCTGCGTCCCCTCTGCCTGGCGTTGCGGACCCTGAGTCTGACCAGTTTCGTGCTGAGCACCCTACTGTCACGCGTCTGTTAGCCACTGTTGTCACTGACCCGTCGTTCGAGTCTGCTGCTGCGTCTGCCTTGGTCGCTGAGCTTGTTGACTTTGCTGCTGCCTGTCGTCTAGACTACGCTGCTAGTCTTGTTGCTGAGTCTGAGTCTGTCTGTCCTCCGTCCGTCGGGGGTGAGTGTGCTCTTAGCATGGACGTCCTTGAGGACAGGCACGAGGACCTTGAGTGTCTTGCGGCTGCTGCGCCTCATCTCGTGGCCATGCTGCTTGCCCCTGAGGGAGACCTGGATGCACCAGACATCCCGACCCCACGCTCTTACGCTGAGGCGATCGCGGGTGAGTACTCCTCTCAGTGGCAGACAGCCATGGACGCAGAGATGGCATCCTGGAAGTCCACAGGCACTTACGTCGATGAGGTTCCCCCTCCCGGGGCGAACATCGTCGACGGCATGTGGATTTTCAGGGTGAAGCGGCCGCCAGGTTCTCCGCCTGTCTTCAAGGCTCGTTACATTGCTCGAGGCTTCAGTCAGCGGGAGGGAGTTGACTTCTTCCAGACCTTCTCCCCCACCCCAAAGATGACCACTCTTCGGGTGCTGCTGCACGTTGCCGCTCAGCGTGACTACGAGCTTCACTCGCTTGACTTCAGCACAGCTTTCTTACAGGGCAGCCTGCACGAGGAGATCTGGTTGCGCCGCCCACCTGGCTTCACTGGGTCGCTGGGCTAGGGCGCTGCGAGAAAAAGTTTCGACCAGGTGTATGTGGTAATGCTTTTCGCCAGCGTCTTCGCCTGCTCAGTCGACCATTCTTTCCAAGCCAACGCCACGAAATTGCCTCCTCCTGATTCCGAGTGATGTGGCAGACGGTGCCCAAGTTTCCTCAGGTCGGCCAGTGCCACGTTACGAAACAAGTGACATGGCATGCTTTGGTGCAATCACAAAGCAGAGGCGGGTCAACGAAGATCGGTCAACACTTGAGGAGAGGCTTGAAAAGGGGTGAGCTGGCATTTACCGTAACGGACGTACATGGAAAGGGCAGGCGTCAACGTTGGTGGAACATTCAAAAGACCAGATGAGCGGAGAATTCTGGGGACGAGTATGCAGTGTAGACACTGCACCCACCCTGTCCGTTTCACATATGTACTAACATGAACAAGTGTTTCTATATGCCACAAGGTGTTTGGCTTGTCCTGAGAAACGAATCCAGAATGAAGGCCTGAAAGGAGCCAACATAAAGAATATAAAGAATAAGAATAAAACGAACAAAATGAAGGTAACCAGCAGTCTGGGAAAAGAAAAGGAAAACACACTCACCTCGCTTGCTGCTCCCATGTTATCGTCCTCATCATCGTCATCTTCGACATCAACCAGCTCAACCATTTTCTCCATTGGTTGAAAGCGTTGCTCCCTCAACATCCAATTGGGTCTCTTCCCCTGGGTCACCGAACCTCCACCTGCTACGTTACCCCCCTTAACCCCACCATAACCATCTACACCAACTTCAACCTCTTCAACCACCTGATCTCTAATAACCCCATCTTTGACCCCTCCTTTGATATTCCCTTTGGGTGATTGGCCCACACTTCTAGTTGCCTTACTCCCTGTCACCCCGCTCCCCTGCCCCATTGCCTCAACGTCTGTCGTCCCAGTTTCCATGCCTTTTGCTCGCTTAAGCGGAGGAACATACGGAGCCTGCTCCTCATCCCCCGATGCCGCGGCCAAAAACCGCTTCCCCCTGCGACACGGGCCGGCTCGTGAGGTTCTCCTTTTCCCTGAGAATGCTCCTCAGAGCGTCTTGGTCCAGAGCAGCAACAGGCCTTGCCCCCCTCCTGCTGCTGCTCCCACTGCCACATGTACCATTGCCCAGCAGCACCTGCCGGGACCGCCGAACGTTGTTTCGGTACAGGAATGCAGTCGAGAGGTTCCTGTAGGTGTGATTATAACGAGAAAAGGGAGCTGATGAATCGTGGTACAAGCCAATACGTTTCTGTTATGAACAGTCTCTTGGAGGGTGTGAATTTAGTGAGAGAACTTAATTAGGGGTGGCTGGTGGGGTTGGGGTTAGAACAAGCCTTCTATCAGCACAGGCAAGTTTTGACACGCTGAAGCTGCTATTCAGGATTCTCAAACGCTACTCCAACAAGCCCACACTAGCCTTGAACCGCAGTGGCAGAGATTTGAGACACCTCAAACGTTTTGTTTCGTGACGTCTCAAGATTTGATACGCCTCAAGACTCTCAATCGTGACTCCAACACGCCCAAACCAGATACTATTGAACAGTAGCGGAGTTTTCCGTCCACACTCACCCTCCGTCGAGCTCGAGGCGGGTTGGCTTCATCTTTTGATATGCTGCTGCAATGTGGCGGTCACAGTACTCTGCGAGAGTTCTGAGAGGAGAGGGTGTGAGATGGGATGGGATGGGAGGGCGGATAGGATTGGATGGCGGATGTGATGGGAGGGCGGATGGGATCAAAATGGGCTGAGGTGAAAGGGTATGTGATGGGATGGTTGAGATGCGATGGCATGAGATGCAAGGTATTGGTCACAATACTCTGCAAGGGTTCTGTCAGTTGAGGGCATGCGATAATGGGCGCGAGATGGGAGGGCGTGAAATGAGAGTGCGTGGGATGGGAGGGTGCGGGATGAGGGCGCGGGATGGGATGGGATGACACATGGCATGGGATACGATCATAGGATGGCATGGGGTGGGATAATAACGCTCACTTGTTGATCACGGAATTGCAAGGTTCGTTGCCCTCCGTCACCCCCTTGCATATGCCAAAGTCCCTCGCAGTGCCAACTGGCAGGATTTGATTGGCTCGGAACACGCGGAGAGACGGCGGAAGGTTCTGCCATGGCAACACGTGGATGCGAACGCGTGGGGAGTGTGTGAACGAGTATTGATGGGTGTGTGCGTGAGTGTTGATCGAGTTGACTTTTGGTCGACTCAAAAGTCAGACGGCGGAAGGTTCTGCCATGGCAACACGTGGATGAGAATGCACGGGGAGTGTGAAAACGAGTGTTATTGAGCGTGCGTGTGCGTGAGTGTTGGTCGAGTTGACTTTTGAGTCGACTCAAAAGTCAGACAGCGGCGGAAAGTACTGCCATGGCAACATGTGGGTGGGAACGCGTGGGGAGTGTGTAAATGAGTGCTGATGAGTGTGATTGTGAGTGTGCGTGAGTGCTGGTCGAGTGTGTGTGTGTGAGCATTGATAAGTTCTTTTGAGGCGCCTCAAAAGTAGTGCTGGTCGAGTGTGTGTGAGCATTGATAAGTTCTTTTGAGGCGCCTCAAAAGTAGTGCTGGTCGAGTGTGTGTGAGCATTGATAAGTTCTTTTGAGGCGCCTCAAAAGTAGTGCTGGTCGAGTGTGTGTGAGCATTGATAAGTTCTCACACGACACACACCCCCAAGAACTTCTGAGGCACCTTGAAAAACGTCACCCCAAACAAGAACAAAGTCTCCTCCTCCACTCCTCCCAACCTGGCACGCTCCCTCTGTTGCCCCCCTCTGCTGACCCCCTCTGTAGGTCCCTTGACTCACCCCTTTTGGCGGGCTATTTTTGAGTCGACTCAAAAAGCCCCCCTCTGTTGCCCCCCTCTGCTGACCCCCTCTGTAGGTCCCTTGACTCACCCCTTTTGGCGGGCTATTTTTGAGTCGACTCAAAAAGCCCCCCTCTGTTGCCCCCCTCTGCTGACCCCCTCTGTAGGTCCCTTGACTCACCCCTTTTGGCGGGCTATTTTTGAGTCGACTCAAAAAGCCCCCCTCTGTTGCCCCCCTCTGCTGACCCCCTCTGTAGGTCCCTTGACTCACCCCTTTTGGCGGGCTATTTTTGAGTCGACTCAAAAGCCCCCCTCTGTTGCCCCCCTCTGCTGACCCCCTCTGTAGGTCCCTTGACTCACCCCTTTTGGCGGGCTATTTTTGAGTCGACTCAAAAAGCCCCCCTCTGTTGCCCCCCTCTGCTGACCCCCTCTGTAGGTCCCTTGACTCACCCCTTTTGGCGGGCTGGCTTCGGCTCCCAAGACACTACCACCGTCCCCATCTCCTGCTTGCAGTACACATCAAACGCTGCCCCGAACAGAAGCAAAGTCCCCTCCTCCACCCCTCCCAACCAACAACACCCTCTGTAGGTCCCTTCACCCCTTGACTCACCCCTTTTGGCGGGTTGGCTTCGGCTCCTAGAACCGCCACCACCGTCCCCATCTCTTGCTTGCAGTACACATCAAACGCCGCCCCGAACAAGAACAGAGTCACCTCTTCCACTCCTCCTTGCCCGCCTCCTCCTCCTTTCCCTCCTCCCCCCCCTCCTCCCCCTCCGCTTCCTCCTCTGCCTCCCGCCAGAGGACCAGAGAGACAGGAGAGCTTCCAAGACATGAACGGACGCGAGGAGGAGGAGGGTTTGGTGGTGGTAGCAGTGGCTTTAACGGTGGCAGAGGGTTTGGTGGCGGCAGTGGGCTTAGCAGCAGCGGAGGGTTTGGCAGTGGCAGTGGCTTTAACAGATGAACATCCGGATATGACAGCAATAGTCGCCCACGCCCCTGCCAGCTGGCTCCTTCCTCCAATCAGAGCGGAGCTGGAGCAGCGCAGGGGGGTTGGGAAGGTGAGCAAGGGAGAGGAAGAGGATGTGGGAAGAAGGCTGTGAATCACATGCAAGCATGAAACGCAGGAAAGGAATAATGCAAGCGCAGAAACCGCATGCACGTACGAGATGGCTTCTAGGCGAAAAAAGCGAATGTCAGCCAGCGGATGGGGCACATCATGACACGTGGAACAAAGATTTGTGTCTCAGAAACGGATAGAGAACACATGCACGTACGAGATGGCTTCGAGGCGAAGGAAGCGAATGTAGGCCAGAGAATGGTAAGGGACACAACACAGCGGCACGTGGAACAAGGGTTTGTGTCTCAGCAACGGCTAGAGAGCACATGCACGCACGAGATGGCTTCAAGACGAAGGAGGTGAAGGGTGGCCAGAGAATGGTAAGGGACACAACACAACGGCACGTGGAACAAAGGTTTGTGTCTCAGCAACGGATAGAGAGCATTTGAACAGAATACATCGGACGCATGATGCGAATGCACGTACGAGATGGCTTCGAGACGAAGGAAACGAATGTTGGCCAGAGAATGGTAAGGGACACAACACAACGGCACGTGGAACAAAGGTTTGTGTCTCAGCAACGGCTAGAGAGCACATGCACGCACGAGATGGCTTCGAGACGAAGGAGGCGAATGTCGGCCAGAGAATGGTAAGGGACACAACACAACGGCACGTGGAACAAAGGTTTGTGTCTAAGCAACGGCTAGAGAGCACATGCACGTACGAGATGGCTTCGAGACGAAGGAAACGAATGTCGGCCAGTTTCTGCCTGAGCTGCGGTGCAGAGATGAAACGGTTCCTGTTGGGAGATGAAACGGACAGCAGTCAGCGAAGAGCAATGCATGGCGACACACAGACTGCCAACCCTTTTGAACTACGCAAACCTGCTCAAACCGCATATAACCGAAGACTCATTATCGAGGCACTTCTGAGACAACCAACAAATGCTACTTCCACAGACATTTTCACCAATGAGAGGCGGCTAGAAATCAACTATCTTTCTGAACAGTTTCACCTCTCCTCAGTCTGATCCCCGAGTGCTCCTCCATATCCCCCGATTCCCTCTCCTTGGCTCTCCTCGCTGCACTCACTAACACAGTCGCTGGCTACTTATGAGAAGTCGCAAAAGTCATCAGCCGTTTCACCCACCTCAGTCGGATCCCCGAGTGCTCCTCCATATCCCCCGATTCCCTCTCCCTGGCTCTCCTCGCTGCACTCTCTAACACAGTCGCTGGCTACTCTTGAGAAGTCGCAAAAGTCATCAGCCGTTTCACCCACCTCAGGCGGATTCCCGAGTGCTCCTCCATATCCCCCGATTCCCTCTCCCTGGCTCTCCTCGCTGCACTCTCTAACACACTCGCTGGCTACTTTTGAGAAGTCGCAAAAGTCATCAGCCGTTTCACCCACCTCAGTCGGATCCCCGAGTGCTCCTCCATATCCCCCGATTCCCTCTCCCTGGCTCTCCTCGCTGCACTCTCTAACACAGTCGCTGGCTACTTTTGAGAAGTCGCAAAAGTCATCAGCCGTTTCACCCACCTCAGGCGGATTCCCGAGTGCTCCTCCATATCCCCCGATTCCCTCTCCCTGGCTCTCCTCGCTGCACTCTCTAACACACTCGCTGGCTACTTTTGAGAAGTCGCAAAAGTCATCAGCCGTTTCACCCACCTCAGTCGGATCCCCGAGTGCTCCTCCATATCCCCCGATTCCCTCTCCCTGGCTCTCCTCGCTGCAACCTCAACCATGGTCGTAGTTGTCGCTCCCCTCCCCAACAGTCCCCCCTCGCCTGAAACCCGTTCAGGTGAGAGTTCTGAGCCTCCTGTCAACCTTCCGTCTCCTGTCAATCCTACTTGTGTCACTCCTGCTGCTGCCGCTCTGCCTGCCGCCGGTCCTGGTGCTGTAATTCCCGCTGCTGTTGTTGCTGCTGTGGTTGGTGCTGCCGCAGCAACTGGGTCTGATCCTACTCCAGAACAGGCGGCCGACCCTTGAGGCGCCTCAAAAGTCGCAGCAACTGGGTCTGATCCTGCTCCGGAACAGGCGGCCGACCTTCTTGCTGCTGCTGCTGCCGGCGCCGCTGCTGCTCCGCCTGCTGCGGCTGGTGCCGCTGCATTTGCTGCCGTGGTTGGTGCTGCTGCAGCTGCCGTTGGTGCTGCTGCTGTGGTCGGTGTTGCTGCTGCCGCTGCTGTCGCTGCTACAGCTGCTACTGTGGCGGTCGAGGCTTCTGTCGCTCGTGCTCCTGCCGCCCGCTCAGTCGCGACGGCTGGAGCGACGACTGGTGCGACGGCTGGAGCGACAGCAGATGCGACGGGTGGAGCGAAGACTGGAGCGACGGTCGAAGGGAAGGCGAAGCTGCTGGGACCAGGTGACTTACCCGTGGTACTTGTTAGAAATCCATTACCCGATTTATTAACCGATTTTTCGCTTCCAATAAACTGAAACCCCCCGCTAGATCCAACGCCTCCCCGGACACCATTCAAGGGCTTGCGTCCTGAAACCCCCATTAAGCCCCCCATCAAACCATCCACTGAACCAGCCACTGAACCCACCGCTGACCCCCCCACTGAACCCAACACTGAACTCGCCGCGTTCCTAGTAGCAGCCGCGTGATTTCCAGAGTCAACATTTTTCTGGCGACTGGAAAAACTGAAGGCCCCATTAATGGTTTTACTAGCGCCACCTAGAATAGGAGTTGCGTTTTTGGTGTTCGGACCGAACCGTGCAGCTTCGAGCTTAGACTTCATCGCGTGAGGAGATTTAGCAGCTGGAGGAGCGGCGAAAACACGAGCTCCTTTGCTCGGAGGCACTCTTCTGTTGATTGAAGCTCCTTTGCTGAAAGGGGCTGCCGTGTTCGCGTGAGACCCTCTGGTCGGTGGAGGAACAGAAGCGAATCGAGAGAGGCGGTCTGCAAGGACGACGACGGCGCGAAAGCAGGTGCCTTTGAAGCGAAAGCAGCGCGTCCGTTGCTGCCGGCATTCGACGAGACGTTTTCAGAAACGAAGCATTTGAAAGCGGACATGTCCGCCGGCCCTGACGGCTGTAAGAGCTCGTCCTCGCTGTCGTATCCACCCGAACGATCTCCGCCGTTAGATGCGGGACAACCGTGATCCGGAACATCAATGTCGTCAATTTCGAAATTTGGGTCCAGAGCATGATGTGAGCTTGGTGATGATCCTATCTGGCCGGTAAGCGGGGTCTGATAAGTCATAGTCGCTTCGTCGAGAGGCCCTTTTTCTAAACCGAAGTCGAAACTATCGAGAGGTTCGTTCTCTAGCCAAGGTTTAAAATAGTTTAATCGGCAACCGCAATATAAATCACGAACAGGACGATGTCTGGTTGACTGAGATATTTCCAACAAGGAACGGTGTAATCTGCCTGGCCGAAACTGTCAGCCCTGATAGACATTGTGAAATGGATAAACGCCATCTCCTTTGACAACCTTGGTTTCTCCGAGTTCGAGCGAGGTGACGAACTTGTAACAAGCAAATTCAAATTTGAATTGCCGTAATTTGGGCGACTTTGGGAGGGATGCATCGCAACCGTGTAATCGCCCCACCCCTCCTTCACTCTTGATCTTGCCCGTCTATCACCAGCCCTTTCTGGAGTTGCGTCACTGCCAATTCGGCCAATTTGCTACACTGAAGATAACCTCATAAATATGAATAGACCAAATGTAAAGCACAAGCCTGTTTGATTAACAAGCAACTCGCCTTCTCCTACGATTGCAACAAATAGAACACAGAAGGCAGGCGTAAGACGCCAAATCCTGAATCCTGTATACCCACGCACCCTGCAATTTCATAGTACAGAAATAAATGCTGAGACTTTAGTTGCTATACAAACCTTACAACACGCATGCACGACAAAGATGCGGCCATCAAGATGAGCCACAAGAAATGTGTAAGTGGTCAACATGGCTGCGTACCTCAGGGGAGTATTGCCCGGCCAACAATGGGGCTTGTTCTTGCGACCCAGTGGCGGCATCTCCACGTACAAATGCCTATGCACATGCATCAATCAAGCACAAGGTCATAAGAACCAGACAGGGAGGACAAGATTGTTGGAGCATGAGGAGGTGCTGAAAGCGAGCATGCAGACAATTAGTTCTCTGATTTAGGTAAACTTTTTGAAATTGGATACTGCTATCCTTGATATTGATCAGATATTGACAACAACGTACCTGAAATTCAGCCACATTGCATTCCTCATTGCAATGAGACACATGCAAAAGCACGAGGCACATAAAAATGCAACTTACCTGGAACTCAGCCACGTAGACTTCCTGCTTCCTGGTTTGTAGTGATCCAGGCCTGAACAGATAAGCAGCGAACAGGAGGTACGCAACAGGTGGCAAGAAGCAGCTAATCAGAAGGCGCGATGATAACAACGAATTACGAGGAGAGCATTGCGTAGCATACGAGAGATTATCCAACATCCTCCTCACGTCACACCTCACCTCATTGCTCTCACAACAGCCACAGCCTGCATCAGGAAAAGAGAACGGGTAGTATACAGGGGAAATTGTACATGTTTAGCGCAAAGATTGCGAGCTAAAAAAAAAAAAGCAACAACAACAACAACGCGGGGCCTTGGAGCCAAGCAAAGGAATAACAACTGAACTGAATGGGACGACGATTGGGGAGGGAGACACTGAAGGAGTTGCTTACATCAGCAGCTGCTAGGGAGTTTGCTGCAACCAAGTAACATGCAATGACAAGGCCTGTCCTTCCTGCGCATTCAAATAATTTCATGTCACCCACATGGTGTTCAGAACTGTGCGTTGTGCAACAGGCACACACGCTAGGCAGACACTTTTTTTTGTGAGCAAGTTGGAAAGAGTTCGTCACGGCTGCTTTGAACAGCGAAAGTTGTGTTGCATACCTAGGCCAGCATGGCAGTGAACAGCCACCTGCACCAAACGAACAAGCAAATATCATTAGGTGGTCTTTATCAACCATTGTTAAGAGCCCAGAAATGAAGCATGAATGGTTTATACAGATACTGGCAGTGAAAGTACACCTGCTATAGAATAAATACCTTTGAGTAACTATGAACACGGAAAAAGAAAGGCTGCACAGATTGCACACCTTGTGGCGGCGGCCAATGGCGAGGGAGATGCTCTGCACGATGGAGAGCATGGTTGGGAAGGGCGGACATGCCATGTCCTTCCATGGTGCACGCAGGTAACCGACTGGCCACGCAGGGACGGAAGGATGATATGGGGATGTCAGTGCAGGAGTGGTTGCGGGGTGAGAGTGGGGAAGAAAGTGAGTGGCATGGTTGGGAAGGGGGGGCATGACACGTCCTTCCAGGGTGCATGCAGGTAACCCACTGGCCACACAACACAAGCACGGACGGATGGACGGAAGGGATATGAATGCCATGGATGTTTCTGTCAGTGCAGGAGTGCTTGAGAGTGAAAGCGAGGGAGAGGGAGACAATGACAAGAACAGAGACCAGTTGAAAAGGGGGAGTAACTGAGTTCTAAAAAAGCAAGATTTCGGCAAAAGCATAAGATAATGTTTGTCAGGAGCGGACCTCCAGCCTTGATGAACTTGTCAGGAGTGTAGGAGAATCCTGATGCTGTGATCCCTGACCCACACCACGGATGCTCCCCTGCTTCCTGTGTGCGTGCACGGAGAAAGAAAGCATTGATTTCCGTTTCTGGTGCGCTCAAAACGAGAGATGACGATTGAGCCTGGTCCTTTTTTCCAGCAGGAATGTTCTATGCACCCATATGTACCTACATATGCATTCATGCATACCACCATAAGCACCCATCTGTACCTCCACTACCTCCATATGAACCCATCCGTACCTCCAGGTTCACAATCAGCCTGATGCCTCGTTCCGCGAATCTATCCGCCAACCCCTCCGCAATCATCGCGTCCGTCGGTCTCGCGCACGCCAGCAGCTCGTTCGTCACCCAATCCGAGTGCAAACCGCGAAACGCCTCTTGACCGTTCTGCAACCGGAAATCCTCGTGTCGGCACCCGGAGGGGGACCCCAGGCCTTCTAAAAAGCAGACTATCCTATCCGTGACGCCGTTTTCTTTCCAGGAAGGAGCCGATGAGTTCGCGGATGAATTCTCAGATGTCTCAAACGTGGAATCAGTGACGCCATTTTGGTGTCTCGTAGACTCGTAAGAAGACGAGGGGGACGTGTTGGCAATCATGATATTGGAACGAGGGAACTGAAGGAAGTGCGGTGTGATACAAATAGGCTGCTGTGGTCGTCAGAAGGCTTTTTCTGTCGTAATTTGGTAGAATTTCCTATGTGCTCGCAAAATCGTTACTACATGACGGTCCAGACTACCTTGACGGTTTCAGCTGCCAGCTGGTCGGAGACTAAAAGCAGTTTGCCGGCAAGCTCGGCAAACGAATTCTAGGTTTCAGCTGCTAACTGGTCTCGGGAATCAATATCACCGCGGGTGGCGTCAAACCGAAGACAGCCGCGGCGAGGAACACAACAACTAGAAATGCACCTAATCGCAGCGTCAGCTGAGAGATAAATTACGGCGGACGATGGTTTCCTAGCTTGCTGCTGCCAACACCAGCTTGTTCTAGCCTACAGAAATGCACTGACACAGGTGTGCTGCCGAAGGCACGGAGGGAGAAACGAATGTTTCAAAACTCACTGTCAGAATTCACTTCACACTCGTTCTGATCTTGCCGAACCGAACGCACCAAAACTTGACAGCGGGTGGTGCTGGGCTCCCAAACCACAGTGGCGAGACTCGATTGGCCAGATAAGTTTAACCAGGCAGGCCTAACGTAGCTTGCCATGGAAGCAGGTTTGGCAACCCGAGGCAAGAACAGGCTGGCCTTATGGTGCTTTCTCCAAATTCGTTTTCCACAACGGTACATATTGTCTCCAAAAACGATTGAGCTTGGTGCGGAGTGATTTGTTCCAGCTTTCTTGGGATGCTTTTTATTCCATTTTGGATTCCTTGTGCTGCTGGTTGCATCCTGAATCCTTCTTCCTCTGTTGATTGCACTTTACCGAGGAACCTGCTAGCGGGGATTATAAATCAGTCGCAGAACAGCAGGCCAATTTCACTGAACCTCCGTGCTCCGTGCTTGAGTTACTACCCATTCCTTACCTGCAAGATTAGTGACATGGCTTGTGTTTCGCAAAGTAGAGATTGAGTCAATAGTGGGAGAAGCAGGAGAGTAGAAATATCGTGCGAGCGGAAGTAGCACGCTCTGGGATCACAGCAGCCATGGCTGTGTCTGATGCAGCGGAGTGGACGGAGCTCTCCAACTGCTTCTATCGCGTACAGCCTTTACCAGACCTGCAATGGCAGGTAAAGAACACGTGACTCCTTCCTCCTGTATCGAGAACTAGCGCTTCGGACACGCAAACGGCCACGTTTTCCGATTGTCGATGCTAATTCCAGTCCGTTAACGTCATGACGATAAGCAGCATCTGTGTAGTCACTTTCCGTTTGTGTACACTTCCGTATAGGGTCTACTACATGAGAACATAGTAGCTGGTTCGATTCTTGTAAAATGCGCAGGTGGTCGTCGGTTTTGGAGGCGCCTCAAAAGTCCCTTCTAAACGAGGACCTATCAGACCGCATGTTCGCCATCAACGCGTGTACTTTGAGACAACTGGAATTCCCCCCTGAAATAGGACCTACCAGACTGCATAATTGTCAGCTTTTGATACGGCTTGACACTCCCATTTCTGCTATCCTGATCCTTTCCATCTCTCGCTCCCCCTCCCACCACGTAGGACGTGGACCTATCAGAACTCATGGTGGCCTGTGCGCCGTACGGCGGACCAATTGCCACAGTCCGCGATCCGAACCACCTTCCCAGGCGCGGCAGCAGTGCAGGCTCGGCAGCAGGTTCGGCAGCACAGGCTCGGCAGTACATATCTGTGTTCTCAGCAGCTGGGCGGCCGATCTCGCGGTTTCTGTGGGAACCGCCGGGAGGGAGGCTGATGGGGCTGGGGTGGAGAGAGGATGCGGTGGGGGGCCTGGTGCTTGTAACGGTGCTTGAAGACGGCACTGTTCACCAAGTGAGATTACAGGAGGAGGGGGGGGGGGGGGGAGGGGACGTTTTCCTACCATCACTGTCCCGCCAGGTGGGAGGTTGATGGGGTTGGGGTGAAGAGAGGATGCGGTGAGGGTCTGGTGCTTGTAACGGTGCTTGAAGACGGCACTGTTCACCAAGTGAGATTACAGGGGGGGGAAATGTTTTCCTACCATCACTGACCCGCCAGGTGGGAGGTTGATGGGTTGGGGTGGAGAGAGGATGCGGTGAGGGGGCTGGTGCTTGTAACGGTGCTTGAAGACGGCACTGTTCACCAGGTGAGATAACAGCGAAGGAATCTTTGTGTGTCTTTCGTTTATGTTGATCTGACAGAAGCTTCAGTTCGCCCTTTACTCCATTCTCTGTTCCACACACGAACGTGCAGAGTGCCCTTCCCATGGGAATGTCACTCTCCCCACTCCCACCCGCCGTCCCTGAACGCCCCACCCCTACACCTACGTGCAGTGTTCAATGCATGGGAAGGGCACTCTCCCCCGCATCCCCCTCCACACCACCAACCTAGAGGGTATCACGGAGGCTCACATATTCGGCATGCGAGGGGGAGGAGATAGAGGAGGAGGAGGGGAAGGGGGAGATACGGGGGGTGATGGCGCGGAGGGGGAGGCGAGGAATGGGGGAGGGGAGGAAGAAGGGGGGAGGAGCAGAGGGGGAGGGGGAGGGCGTGTGGCGGCAGGAGTGGTGTGCTTGACTGAGAGCTGTCAGCTTCTAGCAATGGTGGACTTCGATGTGAGTATAACGAAAGTGGAGGACTTTGATGTGAGTATAACGAAAGTGGAGGACTTTAATGTGAGTATAACGAAAGTGGAGGACTTTGATGTGAGTGGAAAGGTGGGTGGTACGTGAGGTGAGAGTAATGGGGTGGGGTAAGGAGGCTGGCATAGGCACCAGTGGTGTGCTTGACTGAGAGTTGTCAGCTGCTGGCAATGGTGGACTCTGATGTGAGTATAACGAAAGGTGGATGTGGGTGGGAAGTTGGACGTGAGTGTGTTGGCTTGTGACTGTGATGGTTTTCAGAGTGGATAAGGTGGACTTTCACGTCCACAAACCACCTGTGGACCTGTGGTTTATAAAATCGTAGAGGCGTGATTGCGAACAATCTGTCAGGCAGAGGCTCGGGGACATTAACGACAACGTACCCCGTTGCCCCTTCTTTCCCCCCTTTCCCCCCTTTCCCCTTTTCCCCCTTTCCCCCCTCTCTCCACAGGTTTTTCCCCTGGCGGGCCCCGGTCTGTCAGAGCAATTGACAGTTTCAAATTCCTTTCCCCTTCCTCACACTCCCTTCTCCCTTTTTCCATATCCCCCTTTCCCCCATCCCCCCCACCCCACAGGAACCAGAGGTCTTCCCCCTGGCGGACCCCGGCCTCTCAGAGCCACTAACAGGTTTTAATGCCTTTCCCCTTCCCCACTCTCCCCTCCCCCTTCCCCGCTTCCCCCCATTCCCCCCATTTTCCCCCCAACAGGAACCAGAGGTCTTCCCCCTGGTGGTCCCCGGCCTCTCAGAGCCATTGACTGTTTCCAGCGCCATTCTCCTTTTCACCTCCCTCCCCACTCCCTAACACACCTTCCCCTTTCCGTCCTCCCTCTTCCAACAGGAGCCAGAGGTCTTCCCCCTGGCGGACCCCGGCCTCTCAGAGCCACTCACATTGGCAAACCCCTCGGGCCAAACTCCTTTCGCTCGCACTCCCACCAACCGTACCCCACCCAACAGGAACCAGAGGTATTCCCCCTGGCGGACCCCGGCCTCTCAGAGCCGCCCGCCTGCATGGCTGTGCTGGAGCCCGTGATGACGTCACTGGATGACATCAGCGCTTCTCAGGTGGCGGTGCTGCTGGGAACGGAGGCGGCTCTGCTGCGGGTGGATGGGGAGACGGTGCAGCGCGTGGTGAGTAGGAGGCGGGGGGAGGGGGAAGTAGAGGGGAGGAGTGGGGGGAAGGCTGTTGGCTTTGAGTTTGAATAGATGGCACTTGGTGGTGGTGGTGCTGCTGGGAACGGAGGCGGCTCTGCTGCGGGTGGACGGGGAGACAGTGCAGCGCGTGGTGAGTGGTTGAAGGGGTGGGTGGGGGTTGAGAGTTGTTGTGAGGGTGTTGGTGGCGGCCTGGCTACCACAAAGTTTTACTGCTTGGCACAGATCCTGCTCTGCTCTGCCCACCTGTCCGCAGCCCACCTGTCTGCATTCGACAACTCCGGCACAGATCCTGCTCTGCTCTGCTCTGCTCTGCTCTGCTCTGCTCTGCTGCGCGTGGATGGGCCGATGGCGCAGCATGTGTCGTTCTGCATTCTCACCTCCCCTCTTCTCCCTCACCTCCCCCATTCTCTCACAGGGCGCCCCTGAGATGTCCACAGCAGTGCAGCGCGCATCGCTCCCCATTCTCCCCTTTCCCCCCTCACCCCCCCCAATCTCCCCTCCTTCTCCTCCCTCACCCCCCTCACCTCCCCCACTTCCCCTCCCCTCAACTGCTCGCAGGGTGCCCCAGAGATGTCCACAGCAGTGCAGCGCATGGCAGTGTCAGCTTCCGGAAAGCTTCTGGCGTGCTTCACGGCTGACGGGCAGCTGCATGTGCTGCTGACGACAGACCTCTCCAGGCGGATCTCCCACTATGACACTCAGGTGGGTTAATAGACTGGGATATTTAAAAACACTGGGGTGATTACACTCGCGGGGGATAGCTTGACGTCAGACCTCTCCAGGCGGATCTCCCACTATGACACTCAGGCGAGGGGTGGCGCAAGTAGACCCAAATTGTTAGTAGCACTTGGGTAATTACCCCTAGCTTGACGTCAGACCTCTCCAGGCAGATCTCCCATCATGATGCTCAGGTGGTTGGGTTAATAGACCCAGGTGGGTATATATACTCGGATGGTTAGAAACACTCGGTGTCAGACCTCTCCAGGCGGGTCTTCCACTACGACATTTAGGTGGGAGGTGGGGTAAATAGTATTGGACGGTCAGTAACACTTGGATGATTACACCCATGTGGGTAGCTTGACGCCAGACCTCTCCAGTCCAAGTTTCTACTACGACACGCAGTGGGCGGTCCAATAGACTGTTGTAGATAGAAGAATTTGGTTGATTACACCCATGTGGGTAGCCACATATGCTGTTGTTGCCACTCTTGTGAAGTGCCCAAGTCCCCTTTGCCATGCACATAACATCCCCCACCTCTTCCTCTCCCCCTGCAGATCGTGCTACCACCAGACGCCATGGCATGGTGTGGGGAGGACGCGGTGCTGCTCTCCTGGCAGCACCCACCTGCACTCATGCTTATGGACCCTGGGCATGCCATCAAGTGCTCTCTGCCCTGCCCTGACCGCCCATGTGCCCACTGCTTGTGTGCAGATAGTGCTACCACCAGATGCCATGGCATGGTGTGGAGAGGACGCGGTGCTGCTCTCCTGGCAGCACCCCCCTGCCCTCATGCTCGTCGGCCCTGGGGATGCCATCAAATACTCATTAGGAGGGGAAGAGGACGACGAGGAGGAGGAGGTGGAGGGGGAGGAGGAAGATGGTGAGATAGAGGGAGAGGCAGGAGGGGAATTGAGTAGGCGCCGCGCGTTCGGCTCGGCAGCTCTTCGCAGGTGTGTACTGGTTGAAATGTCTCAAATCAAATCTACTTTCACCCACTTGCATGCATGTCAAGTGTGCTGCATGCATGGCCCGTCTCCTTCCCCTACCCTTCTGGTTCAACGCTTGTGGTTTTCCCATTATCACCACGCACTCCCCCTTTTCCTGTTTTTCTCGGTGTTCCAGCCTCGGAATTGAGCCCATTCCTCCATGCTCTTTGAAGTTTGCAGAAATCACTTCGTTCTCTTTCATGAGTGACATGCCATTCACTCTTCCCTTACACTTTCGCCTGTTTTGTTTGACCCATTACCTCCCCTACTTTTTCCCCACCCCTTCTGCTTCCCCTCTCCACACCACAGTGTGCCAGCGCCAGCATCAGCTCTTGACACCACCACCAGCACCACCGACAGCTGCCTAATTCTCATTCCAGAGTGCGACGGCGTCCGCCTGCTCTCCTCCCTCCACTCTGACTTCATCTCTCATCTCTCCTTCCCCTGCCTTCCTCACACCACAGTGTGCCAGCGCCAGCATCAGCTCTTGACACCACCACCAGCACCGACAGCTGCCTAATTCTCATCCCCGAGTGCGACGGCGTCCGCCTGCTCTCCTCCTCCCACTCCGACTTCATCTCTCGGGTTCCCGAACCCACCGTAGCCGCCTTTGCCCTCTCCAGCACCGCTCTCCTGATAGAGGTGTTTCACTCACTCCGTTCAACGCCTCGTTCCCCCATTGCCGGTTTCCCATTACCCTTTTGCCCTCCCTCTGTTTTCCCTGCCCATCACACCAGTGTGCCAGCGCCAGCATCAGCGCTTGACACCACCACCACCACCACCACCACCGACAGCTGCCTGATCCTCATCCCCGAGTGCGACGGCGTCCGTCTCCTCTCCTCCTCCCACTCCGACTTCATCTCTCGGGTTCCCGAACCCACCGTAGCCGCCTTTGCTCTCGCAAGCACCGCACCCCCTGCTCTACTCCTAGAGGCGTTTTCGCTGTTCGAGAGGCGGTCGGGGAAGGCGGATGAGCACGTGAGGGCAATGGGGGTGGCTGTGATGGGGGAGGCGGTGCGAGGGTGCATGCAGGCTGCAGCGCATGAGGGGGATGTGGATGGGCAGAAGCGGCTTCTAGCTGCTGCTGCTTTTGGCAGGGCCTTCTGTAGGTGAGACAGGATGGTGGAGTGGGTGATGTGCTGATGGGGGAGGCGGTGCGAGGGTGCATGCAGGCTGCAGCGCATGAGGGGGATGTGAATGGGCAGAAGCGGCTTCTATCCGCTGCTGCCTTTGGCAGAGCCTTCTGCAGGTGAGCCAGGATGGTAGATCTCGAGTACGATCAGATGGAGTGGGTGATGTGCTGATGGGGGAGGCGGTGCGAGGGTGCATGCAGGCTGCAGCGCATGAGGGGGATGTGAATGGGCAGAAGCGGCTTCTATCCGCTGCTGCCTTTGGCAGAGCCTTCTGCAGGTGAGCCAGGATGGTAGATCTCGAGTACGATCAGATGGAGTGGGTGATGTGCTGATGGGGGAGGCGGTGCGAGGGTGCATGCAGGCTGCAGCGCATGAGGGGGATGTGAATGGGCAGAAGCGGCTTCTATCCGCTGCTGCCTTTGGCAGAGCCTTCTGCAGGTGAGCCAGGATGGTAGATCTCGAGTACGATCAGATGGAGTGGGTGATGTGCTGATGGGGGAGGCGGTGCGAGGGTGCATGCAGGCTGCAGCGCATGAGGGGGATGTGAATGGGCAGAAGCGGCTTCTATCCGCTGCTGCCTTTGGCAGAGCCTTCTGCAGGTGAGCCAGGATGGTAGATCTCGAGTACGATCAGATGGAGTGGGTGATGTGCTGATGGGGGAGGCGGTGCGAGGGTGCATGCAGGCTGCAGCGCATGAGGGGGATGTGAATGGGCAGAAGCGGCTTCTATCCGCTGCTGCCTTTGGCAGAGCCTTCTGCAGGTGAGCCAGGATGGTAGATCTCGAGTACGATCAGATGGAGTGGGTGATGTGCTGATGGGGGAGGCGGTGCGAGGGTGCATGCAGGCTGCAGCGCATGAGGGGGATGTGAATGGGCAGAAGCGGCTTCTATCCGCTGCTGCCTTTGGCAGAGCCTTCTGCAGGTGAGCCAGGATGGTAGATCTCGAGTACGATCAGATGGAGTGGGTGATGTGCTGATGGGGGAGGCGGTGCGAGGGTGCATGCAGGCTGCAGCGCATGAGGGGGATGTGAATGGGCAGAAGCGGCTTCTATCCGCTGCTGCCTTTGGCAGAGCCTTCTGCAGGTGAGCCAGGATGGTAGATCTCGAGTACGATCAGATGGAGTGGGTGATGTGCTGATGGGGGAGGCGGTGCGAGGGTGCATGCAGGCTGCAGCGCATGAGGGGGATGTGAATGGGCAGAAGCGGCTTCTATCCGCTGCTGCCTTTGGCAGAGCCTTCTGCAGGTGAGCCAGGATGGTAGATCTCGAGTACGATCAGATGGAGTGGGTGATGTGCTGATGGGGGAGGCGGTGCGAGGGTGCATGCAGGCTGCAGCGCATGAGGGGGATGTGAATGGGCAGAAGCGGCTTCTATCCGCTGCTGCCTTTGGCAGAGCCTTCTGCAGGTGAGCCAGGATGGTAGATCTCGAGTACGATCAGATGGAGTGGGTGATGTGCTGATGGGGGAGGCGGTGCGAGGGTGCATGCAGGCTGCAGCGCATGAGGGGGATGTGAATGGGCAGAAGCGGCTTCTATCCGCTGCTGCCTTTGGCAGAGCCTTCTGCAGGTGAGCCAGGATGGTAGATCTCGAGTACGATCAGATGGAGTGGGTGATGTGCTGATGGGGGAGGCGGTGCGAGGGTGCATGCAGGCTGCAGCGCATGAGGGGGATGTGAATGGGCAGAAGCGGCTTCTATCCGCTGCTGCCTTTGGCAGAGCCTTCTGCAGGTGAGCCAGGATGGTAGATCTCGAGTACGATCAGATGGAGTGGGTGATGTGCTGATGGGGGAGGCGGTGCGAGGGTGCATGCAGGCTGCAGCGCATGAGGGGGATGTGAATGGGCAGAAGCGGCTTCTATCCGCTGCTGCCTTTGGCAGAGCCTTCTGCAGGTGAGCCAGGATGGTAGATCTCGAGTACGATCAGATGGAGTGGGTGATGTGCTGATGGGGGAGGCGGTGCGAGGGTGCATGCAGGCTGCAGCGCATGAGGGGGATGTGAATGGGCAGAAGCGGCTTCTATCCGCTGCTGCCTTTGGCAGAGCCTTCTGCAGGTGAGCCAGGATGGTAGATCTCGAGTACGATCAGATGGAGTGGGTGATGTGCTGATGGGGGAGGCGGTGCGAGGGTGCATGCAGGCTGCAGCGCATGAGGGGGATGTGAATGGGCAGAAGCGGCTTCTATCCGCTGCTGCCTTTGGCAGAGCCTTCTGCAGGTGAGCCAGGATGGTAGATCTCGAGTACGATCAGATGGAGTGGGTGATGTGCTGATGGGGGAGGCGGTGCGAGGGTGCATGCAGGCTGCAGCGCATGAGGGGGATGTGAATGGGCAGAAGCGGCTTCTATCCGCTGCTGCCTTTGGCAGAGCCTTCTGCAGGTGAGCCAGGATGGTAGATCTCGAGTACGATCAGATGGAGTGGGTGATGTGCTGATGGGGGAGGCGGTGCGAGGGTGCATGCAGGCTGCAGCGCATGAGGGGGATGTGAATGGGCAGAAGCGGCTTCTATCCGCTGCTGCCTTTGGCAGAGCCTTCTGCAGGTGAGCCAGGATGGTAGATCTCGAGTACGATCAGATGGAGTGGGTGATGTGCTGATGGGGGAGGCGGTGCGAGGGTGCATGCAGGCTGCAGCGCATGAGGGGGATGTGAATGGGCAGAAGCGGCTTCTATCCGCTGCTGCCTTTGGCAGAGCCTTCTGCAGGTGAGCCAGGATGGTAGATCTCGAGTACGATCAGATGGAGTGGGTGATGTGCTGATGGGGGAGGCGGTGCGAGGGTGCATGCAGGCTGCAGCGCATGAGGGGGATGTGAATGGGCAGAAGCGGCTTCTATCCGCTGCTGCCTTTGGCAGAGCCTTCTGCAGGTGAGCCAGGATGGTAGATCTCGAGTACGATCAGATGGAGTGGGTGATGTGCTGATGGGGGAGGCGGTGCGAGGGTGCATGCAGGCTGCAGCGCATGAGGGGGATGTGAATGGGCAGAAGCGGCTTCTATCCGCTGCTGCCTTTGGCAGAGCCTTCTGCAGGTGAGCCAGGATGGTAGATCTCGAGTACGATCAGATGGAGTGGGTGATGTGCTGATGGGGGAGGCGGTGCGAGGGTGCATGCAGGCTGCAGCGCATGAGGGGGATGTGAATGGGCAGAAGCGGCTTCTATCCGCTGCTGCCTTTGGCAGAGCCTTCTGCAGGTGAGCCAGGATGGTAGATCTCGAGTACGATCAGATGGAGTGGGTGATGTGCTGATGGGGGAGGCGGTGCGAGGGTGCATGCAGGCTGCAGCGCATGAGGGGGATGTGAATGGGCAGAAGCGGCTTCTATCCGCTGCTGCCTTTGGCAGAGCCTTCTGCAGGTGAGCCAGGATGGTAGATCTCGAGTACGATCAGATGGAGTGGGTGATGTGCTGATGGGGGAGGCGGTGCGAGGGTGCATGCAGGCTGCAGCGCATGAGGGGGATGTGAATGGGCAGAAGCGGCTTCTATCCGCTGCTGCCTTTGGCAGAGCCTTCTGCAGGTGAGCCAGGATGGTAGATCTCGAGTACGATCAGATGGAGTGGGTGATGTGCTGATGGGGGAGGCGGTGCGAGGGTGCATGCAGGCTGCAGCGCATGAGGGGGATGTGAATGGGCAGAAGCGGCTTCTATCCGCTGCTGCCTTTGGCAGAGCCTTCTGCAGGTGAGCCAGGATGGTAGATCTCGAGTACGATCAGATGGAGTGGGTGATGTGCTGATGGGGGGAGGCGGTGCGAGGGTGCATGCAGGCTGCAGCGCATGAGGGGGATGTGAATGGGCAGAAGCGGCTTCTATCCGCTGCTGCCTTTGGCAGAGCCTTCTGCAGGTGAGCCAGGATGGTAGATCTCGAGTACGATCAGATGGAGTGGGTGATGTGCTGATGGGGGAGGCGGTGCGAGGGTGCATGCAGGCTGCAGCGCATGAGGGGGATGTGAATGGGCAGAAGCGGCTTCTATCCGCTGCTGCCTTTGGCAGAGCCTTCTGCAGGTGAGCCAGGATGGTAGATCTCGAGTACGATCAGATGGAGTGGGTGATGTGCTGATGGGGGAGGCGGTGCGAGGGTGCATGCAGGCTGCAGCGCATGAGGGGGATGTGAATGGGCAGAAGCGGCTTCTATCCGCTGCTGCCTTTGGCAGAGCCTTCTGCAGGTGAGCCAGGATGGTAGATCTCGAGTACGATCAGATGGAGTGGGTGATGTGCTGATGGGGGAGGCGGTGCGAGGGTGCATGCAGGCTGCAGCGCATGAGGGGGATGTGAATGGGCAGAAGCGGCTTCTATCCGCTGCTGCCTTTGGCAGAGCCTTCTGCAGGTGAGCCAGGATGGTAGATCTCGAGTACGATCAGATGGAGTGGGTGATGTGCTGATGGGGGAGGCGGTGCGAGGGTGCATGCAGGCTGCAGCGCATGAGGGGGATGTGAATGGGCAGAAGCGGCTTCTATCCGCTGCTGCCTTTGGCAGAGCCTTCTGCAGGTGAGCCAGGATGGTAGATCTCGAGTACGATCAGATGGAGTGGGTGATGTGCTGATGGGGGAGGCGGTGCGAGGGTGCATGCAGGCTGCAGCGCATGAGGGGGATGTGAATGGGCAGAAGCGGCTTCTATCCGCTGCTGCCTTTGGCAGAGCCTTCTGCAGGTGAGCCAGGATGGTAGATCTCGAGTACGATCAGATGGAGTGGGTGATGTGCTGATGGGGGAGGCGGTGCGAGGGTGCATGCAGGCTGCAGCGCATGAGGGGGATGTGAATGGGCAGAAGCGGCTTCTATCCGCTGCTGCCTTTGGCAGAGCCTTCTGCAGGTGAGCCAGGATGGTAGATCTCGAGTACGATCAGATGGAGTGGGGTGATGTGCTGATGGGGGAGGCGGTGCGAGGGTGCATGCAGGCTGCAGCGCATGAGGGGGATGTGAATGGGCAGAAGCGGCTTCTATCCGCTGCTGCCTTTGGCAGAGCCTTCTGCAGGTGAGCCAGGATGGTAGATCTCGAGTACGATCAGATGGAGTGGGTGATGTGCTGATGGGGGAGGCGGTGCGAGGGTGCATGCAGGCTGCAGCGCATGAGGGGGATGTGAATGGGCAGAAGCGGCTTCTATCCGCTGCTGCCTTTGGCAGAGCCTTCTGCAGGTGAGCCAGGATGGTAGATCTCGAGTACGATCAGATGGAGTGGGTGATGTGCTGATGGGGGAGGCGGTGCGAGGGTGCATGCAGGCTGCAGCGCATGAGGGGGATGTGAATGGGCAGAAGCGGCTTCTATCCGCTGCTGCCTTTGGCAGAGCCTTCTGCAGGTGAGCCAGGATGGTAGATCTCGAGTACGATCAGATGGAGTGGGTGATGTGCTGATGGGGGAGGCGGTGCGAGGGTGCATGCAGGCTGCAGCGCATGAGGGGGATGTGAATGGGCAGAAGCGGCTTCTATCCGCTGCTGCCTTTGGCAGAGCCTTCTGCAGGTGAGCCAGGATGGTAGATCTCGAGTACGATCAGATGGAGTGGGTGATGTGCTGATGGGGGAGGCGGTGCGAGGGTGCATGCAGGCTGCAGCGCATGAGGGGGATGTGAATGGGCAGAAGCGGCTTCTATCCGCTGCTGCCTTTGGCAGAGCCTTCTGCAGGTGAGCCAGGATGGTAGATCTCGAGTACGATCAGATGGAGTGGGGTGATGTGCTGATGGGGGAGGCGGTGCGAGGGTGCATGCAGGCTGCAGCGCATGAGGGGGATGTGAATGGGCAGAAGCGGCTTCTATCCGCTGCTGCCTTTGGCAGAGCCTTCTGCAGGTGAGCCAGGATGGTAGATCTCGAGTACGATCAGATGGAGTGGGTGATGTGCTGATGGGGGAGGCGGTGCGAGGGTGCATGCAGGCTGCAGCGCATGAGGGGGATGTGAATGGGCAGAAGCGGCTTCTATCCGCTGCTGCCTTTGGCAGAGCCTTCTGCAGGTGAGCCAGGATGGTAGATCTCGAGTACGATCAGATGGAGTGGGTGATGTGCTGATGGGGGAGGCGGTGCGAGGGTGCATGCAGGCTGCAGCGCATGAGGGGGATGTGAATGGGCAGAAGCGGCTTCTATCCGCTGCTGCCTTTGGCAGAGCCTTCTGCAGGTGAGCCAGGATGGTAGATCTCGAGTACGATCAGATGGAGTGGGTGATGTGCTGATGGGGGAGGCGGTGCGAGGGTGCATGCAGGCTGCAGCGCATGAGGGGGGATGTGAATGGGCAGAAGCGGCTTCTATCCGCTGCTGCCTTTGGCAGAGCCTTCTGCAGGTGAGCCAGGATGGTAGATCTCGAGTACGATCAGATGGAGTGGGTGATGTGCTGATGGGGGAGGCGGTGCGAGGGTGCATGCAGGCTGCAGCGCATGAGGGGGATGTGAATGGGCAGAAGCGGCTTCTATCCGCTGCTGCCTTTGGCAGAGCCTTCTGCAGGTGAGCCAGGATGGTAGATCTCGAGTACGATCAGATGGAGTGGGTGATGTGCTGATGGGGGAGGCGGTGCGAGGGTGCATGCAGGCTGCAGCGCATGAGGGGGATGTGAATGGGCAGAAGCGGCTTCTATCCGCTGCTGCCTTTGGCAGAGCCTTCTGCAGGTGAGCCAGGATGGTAGATCTCGAGTACGATCAGATGGAGTGGGTTGATGTGCTGATGGGGGAGGCGGTGCGAGGGTGCATGCAGGCTGCAGCGCATGAGGGGGATGTGAATGGGCAGAAGCGGCTTCTATCCGCTGCTGCCTTTGGCAGAGCCTTCTGCAGGTGAGCCAGGATGGTAGATCTCGAGTACGATCAGATGGAAGGGTGATGTGCTGATGGGGGAGGCGGTGCGAGGTGCATGCAGGCTGCAGCGCATGAGGGGGATGTGAATGGGCAGAAGCGGCTTCTATCCGCTGCCTGCCTTTGGCAGAGCCTTCTGCAGGTGAGCCAGGATGGTAGATCTCGAGTACGATCAGATGGAGTGGGTGATGTGCTGATGGGGGAGGCGGTGCGAGGGTGCAATGCAGGCTGCAGCGCATGAGGGGGATGTGAATGGGCAGAAGCGGTCTTCTATCCGCTGCTGCCTTTGGCAGAGCCTTCTGCAGGTGAGCCAGGATGGTAGATCTCGAGTACGATCAGATGGAGTGGGTGATGTGCTGATGGGGGAGGCGGGTGCGAGGGTGCATGCAGGCTGCAGCGCATGAGGGGGATGTGAATGGGCAGAAGCGGCTTCTATCCGCTGCTGCCTTTGGCAGAGCCTTCTGCAGGTGAGCCAGGATGGTAGATCTCGAGTACGATCAGATGGAGTGGGTGATGTGCTGATGGGGGAGGCGGTGCGAGGGTGCATGCAGGCTGCAGCGCATGAGGGGGATGTGAATGGGCAGAAGCGGCTTCTATCCGCTGCTGCCTTTGGCAGAGCTTCTGCAGGTGAGCCAGGATGGTAGATCTCGAGTACGATCAGATGGAGTGGGTGATGTGCTGATGGGGGAGGCGGTGCGAGGGTGCATGCAGGCTGCAGCGCATGAGGGGGATGTGAATGGGCAGAAGCGGCTTCTATCCGCTGCTGCCTTTGGCAGAGCCTTCTGCAGGTGAGCCAGGATGGTAGATCTCGAGTACGATCAGATGGAGTGGGTGATAGGTGCTGCATGGGGGAGGCGGGTGCAGAGGGTGCATGCAGGCTGCAGCGCATGAGGGGGATGTGAATGGGCAGAAGCGGCTTCTATCCGCTGCTGCCTTTGGCAGAGCCTTCTGCAGGTGAGCCAGGATGGTAGATCTCGAGTACGATCAGATGGAGTGGGTGATGTGCTGATGGGGGAGGAGCGGTGCGAGGGTGCATGCAGGCTGCAGCGCATGAGGGGGATGTGAATGGTGCAGAAGCGGCTTCCTATCCGCTGCTGCTTTGGCAGAGCCTATCCTGCGGTGAGCCAGGATGGTAGGATCTCGAGTACGATTCAGGATGGAGTGGGTGATGTGCTGATTGGTGGGGAGGCGGTGCGAAGGGTGTGCACTGCAGGCTGCAGCAGGCATGAGCGGGGATGTGAAGGGCAGAAGTCGTGCTATCTATCCGCTGCTGCCTTTGGCAGAGCCTTCTCTGCGAGTGAAGCCAGGATGGTAGATCTCGAGTACGATCAGATGAGGGTGGGTGATGGCTGATGGGGAGGCGGTGCGAGGGTGCATGCAGGACTGCAGTCGCATGAGGGTGGATGTGAATGGGCAGAAGCGGGCTTCTATCTCGCTGCTGCCTTTGGCAGAGCCTTCTGCAGGTGAAGCCAGGGATGGTAGATCTCAGAGTAAGACGTCAGATGGAGTCGGGTGATGTGCTGATGGGGGAGGCGGCTGCGTATGGGTGCAGGCAGCTGCAGCGCATGAGGGGGATTGTGAATGGGCAGAAGCGGCTTCTATCAGCTGCTGCCTTTGGCAGAGCCTTCTGACAGTGTGAGCCAGGATGGTAGATCTGAGTACGATCAGATGGAGTGGGTGTGATGTGCTGATGGGGAGGCGGTGCGAGGGTGCATGCCAGGCTGCAGCGCATGAGGGGGATGTGAATGGGCAGAAGCGCTTCTATCCGCTGCTGCCTTTGGCAGAGCCTTCTGCAGGTGAGCCAGGATGGTAGATCTCGAGTACGATCAGATGGAGTGGGTGATGTGCTGATGGGTGAGGCGGTGCGAGGGTGATGAAGGCTGCAGCGCATGAGGGGGATTGTGAATGGGCAGAAGCGGCT